AATTTGATTTCATGGTGTGAAATTAAAGCATCCACACAACTCTCAGATCTTTAAAGGGCGAAAGAAAAACTCCGGAGAACAAAATGGGAGCCTTGTTAAATTTTGCGAGGACAAAAACATGATTAACCAATAAAAATCCTTGAAAGAGATTTCCAATTTAGCTCCAAGGAAGCAGGGATAATGATTACTTTATTCTTTATTCTCACCCCACAAAGAACAGACTTTTTTTCAGTATGGTAAAAAAAATAAATAAATAAAAAATTTGGTGAAATCTGTTCCCCGTTGTTAGTTAGCTCCCATAACATCCTACACTGCAAAAACCTGAAATCTAAATAAGTCATTTTTTCTTGCAAAAAGTGAATTTTTTCTTGAAATAAGGAAGTAAGGGAGACACTTTGGTAATGGAACAAGACAATTTACATTTAGAATAAGAAAAAACAATTGCATTGTCTTATTTCAAGAGCATATTATCTAATTATCTTACTTTAAGACTAAAAATACTCTTTCAATTGGCAAATTATCTTATTTACCTCCTCAAATTAAGGCTAAATACACTTAATTTAAAACATTTGTGCTCATTTCTAGATCGTTTTTTGCAGTGCAGCAGCGGCGGGAGGCGGACTCGGTTCAAAAGCAGCAACGTGGATCCGATAGGGCCGGTGCATGTGTTGAGTTTCCCCCTCTGAGAGCTCCAGCAGGAAGGCACGGTGGACACCAACACACACACACACCGATTTCTGGCTAACCCATGTCCCTCAGTGACTCACTTCCCACACACACTAAATCATCACAACATTCACACACAACCTGGCAGCGCTCATACTCTCATTCCCAAAACACACAGTATTCCCATGAAGCAACCATAGCACTGGAAATACTTGTATGTTTGAGTGTAAAGGGTGACATGAGGGCAGAAAGGGCTGGGCATGTGTGTGCATGATGCAGATGTCATGCATGCTTTTGTTGTGTGTGTGTAAGAAATAAATAGCAATTTACTAGTGCAACAAAGAGTGCATGTGATATTAGCAGCCGGATAGTGTATGTGTGAATGTGTGCAAGGCTCTTATGGCTCTTATGAGCCCTCCTGACTGAATACCACTGAGGGCAACACAAACCCCGAATAGAGTCTTTTACATTGCCACAAATAATAATAATAAAAAATGCAATCAGAGCTGCAGTTTTCCGTGATAAAAAAAAAATATTTGAAGAGACTAAATGGTGAAATGAGAGCCTACTGTAACAGGAGGGAGATGGGGGTTTGTGTGTAGGTTCCTATGCGTAGGGGTTTGCACATTTAGGGTGGCAGGTCAGGTGGCAGCAGCGAATCACAGCTGCACTTCCTAAGAATTGGCAAAATGCACGTGTCAAAGGAGCGGCAGCGTGTGTGAATGGTAGTGAGGAAAGGAAAGGGCATGGGGGGGTTGCATGGTTTGTGTGTGTGTGTCTTGGCGTTTGTGACAAATAAATAGCAGCCAAAGAGCAAGTGAGCGCGTTCTGATTCTGAGACTGGCAGCATGACCGACTGATCCCTGCATCCATATCATAGGATTAAAAAGCCTGACACGGCACCGATACAATGGCAGTGAAATATGAGACAAAAAAGTCGGTCAATGGGAGAGGAAATGTGATTATGGACCAGAACCGGCGAGAGGAAGATAATATTAAAAAGAAGGGGAGGGAGAAAAAAAAAATCTGACACACTTTGAACACGAGCCATACAGCGGAGGTGAATGGTAACGCTGTCACCGGGCAGTATAGAGAGAAAGAGAGAGAGAAAGAGGGGAGAGAAGAGGAAGAGGAGGAGCTGCTGCCAAATACGAGCCTCTCCAATGATTTCCAAGAGCCAAGACACACTTCAGTCACACTGTCAGGAATGTTGTGGAGGGTAAAACCTGCCCAAATTCAGTTTGCACACCTGTTCGTCTGAGCCTGACAGAAATCCTCCGCCTGCATGTCCTTCAAACGGCAGCAGGTCAAACCAGGTCTCGGATGAATTAGAGCTCAGAAACTCCACTGGTTTGGTTTGTCCGGAGAAAAAAAAAGATTGGTGGGTCACAACTGCATTTCTATTTTCAACCACGTCACTGCATATGGCCTGGACCAGCATGCGAGCGAGCTGCTCCTAATTATTCATGATTTTATGTAACAAGATTTTGGGTAGGAAATTAGGTCAGAGAACATACTGTGCGCAGAGGGGGCGAACGTGGAAAAAGGGAAAGTTTGACTATAGGCACAGTCATTAGAATAGAGGAGCCTTACATCATTCTGGTTTCTATGCAGTTTTTAGGTCAACTAACAGGCTGATAGCAAAGTTGTGAGGAATCCATCTCCTCTATAAGGCACTAAAAACTATACAGCGCTATATAAAGGAATATTAAAGGATACTGATTAGTCATTCAACAGTTTATACAATAAAGCTGACAATATTAAATGCTTCACTTGGAAAACAAAGCTCACTAATTATGTATTCTAATCTTACCTAAGATTTTTGTTCTTTGGTCCATTAAGCTGGTCTACCCCCCTATTGTGTCATGCAGAAAGCCACCGGACGCATGTTATAAAGGGTTTACTATAAATGAATACATCAAACGTTGAGAATGTCATAAGACTTGTGGTTGAGCCAGCTCCTGTGTCAACACAAGAACCTAAGTTTGTATAAAGCTTTAATAAATTTAGCAACAGCGCTAAACTCAGCAAGCTGCAACGCTCCACCCCGAGGGCAACGAACGCCTGATCTTAGCTGTGGCTATCAGAAAATAAAACAATAAATAAATAATAAAAAGTTTTACATGCATCTTAGTGAAGCAGATCTGATTTTTTTGTGTGGAATTGTCATGTTTATATAGTTTTCGCCTTCATTAAAAGTTGGGGTTATAAGATAAGTTTATTTTTAAGTTTCGTTTAAGAATTATTGAAATATTGTTTTATTCTAATGATTTTAGGATAGATAAAATGTTTATTACAAACCAATTTACATTTATTATGATCACTAAAAGGGAGATGGTCCACCATAGGATGTTAGATTGTTTAGTTAAATGACCTGTTGTGATATGAAGCTCTTAACTTAGATAAAAACAATTAAACATTTATAGGGCACTCAGTGAAATCCTTTGAAAATCAAAATTTCAAGCCAATAGTGTTATTGGAATCCAGGATAAGACCTTAATACCTGTGTAACATTAAAAAATATGGATATTTTTTATGGCAAAAATTAATTGCCTGAATATATTGAGAATAATAACAAAAGTGCTTCAATAAGAAATTCACTCAGAGAGTGAAAGAAACACTTTTTATTTGGTCCAACATAACCTTAGAGGCATTAATGCTCATACTAGCACTTACAATTTTTAGTTTATACACCTAAATATAATTTACTAGGCTTATTAGCTTATTAAACTTCTCTTTTTAGGCATTTAATTAACTTTTTACCTTTTTTTCTTGTTAACTTTTTATTTCAACTTAATTTACAGTAGGTAATACATGAGTCAAAGGCTCATCTAATGGTTGAAATGCAAAAATAAGACGTACAGCCATGTAGCAGTATCTTAGATATAGATCTTGTGCTTCTAGATCAAACCTGTAAGTTGCTCTATAAAGGGATAATAATAGCCCCCCCATCTGCCTCCCCTTTGAAAACTTCCTTGAAGCTCCCCTGTTTTAAAATAAAACCTCAATTAAAGCAAAGCTGAATGCAAAAGTTCAGTTTTTTTCCATTTAAACGCCTTTTATGTCATCTTTTAAATTCTAATAATAAAAAACACTTTTTTACACGAAACAGTTAAAATACTCACTGCAGCTACTTCAGCCTGCCCTCAATGTAAACCAGAGGAAAAATCAGTCAGTCAGTGAGTCGGTCCTTGGCTCGGAGTCAGCGTCTGCTCACCAAACAGGCAGCAAGCCTTCTGAGCCAAACCAACCAGCGATTATATGTTTCACACTAAAGCATTACTCAACAAACTTTACCCACTTAAATGTGTCCAAACAGTCCGGCTAACGTAAGAAACGAGGGTTTTTAATGCGCGCGTGAAGCAGTTTCACATCAAACCAAACTACAGTTCTCCTTTCGTATATATTTATATAAATAAAAACACCCACTGACGTCGGAGAAAGTTGTTTTTATTTTAAAGCAAGTCGAAAGTAAAGTACACGAAGCAGCTTTAAGTGTTTTAAAAGTGTTAAAAGCAGTGAAGCATAGAGAGCGCTGACGGCTGCTTCACCTCAGATGACCCAGGCAGGCAAGCAGACTGGCTGTCTGCTAGCTGCTACCCCCGTTTGAACCCACGAACAGCGGCAACACTTGAACCGACACCGCAGCCAGAACTGCCACTCGCTTCCACTGTCATCTTTAAAAAAAAATAATAAAAACAGCTGGGATTTTCTTCTTCTTTCTACTTCACTTGGCTCGCTCACTCGGAGGAAAAAGCGAGGAAGAAACAAACCAAAACAAATAAACATTCCCCCCCCGCGACATGAAAGGATAACATCCAGCCACGTCTCGTGCCGCCGCGCGCGGGGAGAGGCTAACGCTAAAGCCCTTTAGCTCCAGCGGGCTGCCCGTCATTAGCGGGGGGCTAACTGGCTAGCGGTTAGCTCCGCTGGCTAATAAATTTATTACGGACACTTTCACCGGTGCTTTAAGGGGGACGCGAGGAGGGGGGGAGAAGTTATTCACCCGTGGAAAAAAACAAAAAAACACCGCATTCACTACTTTGACAACTGCGTTTAAATATAACGCGAAACAACGCTCCCGCAAAACAAACTAAAGTTACCTGACAGCCGATAATAAAACAGTTTTATTTCTTATTTGGAGCTTCCCACTCTGAGAGGCTGTGATGGAGCTAGCAGCGGCAGCAGCAGCAGCAGGCAGGGCAGAGAGAGGAGAGCCAGTCAGTCAGTCAGGCTGCAAAACAACCCGCCTCTAATAACTTCACTTTTTCGCTCACTTTAGTCTAAATTTCCCAAAAGCTGTTAGAAAATAAGAAGTTTTCCTCGCGCCCTACCTGTGAGTGAGGCGTAGTTGCGGGGAGCGACGGGCTGGAAGTTGATTATTCCCAGATATCCAGAGTGGTGCGGTGCGGAGCGCATATAGCTAGCGCTGGGTACAGTAAAGATTGTAGCATAGCTAACCTAAAGACAACAGTAGAGAGGAGAAAAAAAAAAAGCCTCCTCGTTGCTCATAGGGGGGATCGACGACAAAAACCACATGATCTTTTACGTCAGCATATATTTGCATAGGATGCCAAATTTATGTTTGGCGTCCAGGTGACGTGGAAATGTACAGAAAAGTTGGATTTGCGGAGCTGGGAACCATGCAGACCGAGGTGAAGGCTGGAGAGGGGGGGGGAGACATGCAGGCATGCGGGAGCCACGCACTGCTGGTCCCCGCTCCTGCAGCCCGGATCCGCTCAGGATTCAGATGCATGGATGCCTGTGATTAACCAGCTTCCTATACACTCACTTTTACTATAATGACTTTATTATACATTTATCCATCAAAATCACACATTTTAAACAACTATATCAGATTCATAGTCCATGCAGGATATATGTTTGGGTTAATTTATTCATAATGTATAGATAGACTGTTAAATATATAATCTTATAAAGTGTTACAATCTACAAAAAATAAAAAATAAAATCCATCCAGAAGCATAATCAGATAAAAATGGGTGTAAATTACAAATTAAAGAAAGAATACCAGCGCTTATATTTTTCTAAACACCTGTTTGATCCTGTCGCTGACCTCCCTGCCTGCAGCAGCTCTACAACTGAGCCTCATAAAGTGGCTCTTTTCTTTTTCTTTTCTTTTTTAATAGGAGTTGCCAAAGATGCCACCATCTAGTTTTCATCGGGAAGCGATCAGGGAGTGGAACTGAAGTTTCCCTGTTCATCAGACTGCTGTTTGCATTTCATTCGCCTCATGCATTTTTGATAAATGGGCTTGTTGTTGCGGATCAGATACAATAAATGTAAGACCTTCCTCTCGCCCACCTGCCTGAAAAGATGACATAGGGCGACACCAACAGGGTGTTTTAGGAACTGCAGACTTAATGTATTATACGCACCTTATATCTTTATGGCACAAGGAGTGGTCTTTGTTTTAATGAAGTGACCTTTTACTCATTAGATAAAGATAATCTTTCACATCCTTAAGAAAATTACTTTAAATCAACAATTAGAAAAGTAATATTGTGATTTAGTTTTTTTACCCCAACTAATACACATGTATAGTAAAGGATAGATGTTTATTTTTTCAAAATTAAATACAATAATGCATACTAGATTTGAATCAAAGGTCTAAGAAGAAATTAACTTCTTACCTATTTTTAAATAGGCTTAATAATGCCAAGGCTCCTTACTTCAATATCAATAATAGTTTGGCTTTTTACTAATAGTTTTATGTTTGTTTCCCTTTATTTAAAGTGAAATAGCAGTTTAGTATTTAGATTTTGGGTTTAATTGCAAGCATTCTAATCGTTTTTGGGGATCTCTTTTAACCTGATAAAATCTGAAATTCTTTATATATAAGAGAGAATTCATCTGAAAAAAAAAAAAAGATCCAAATCCAAAATAAAATGACCTATTTCATTTCTAAGTGGTTCAAGGTGTCAAAGACTGTGCCATCATCTGAATTGGATGAATTGAGAGACAAGCCAGAGTAAATAGGGGCCTTCAGAACAGGATCGATGCCATAGTCTGAGCCATTTTGGCAGACTATTTTTTTTCTTCTGCAACTGGAGGCTCTTGCCAGTGTCTCCAGAATACACAATCAGGTAATGTTGCCAGGCAAAAAGTGCCAGCTCTTAACCAATAAGCAGAGTTTTGGCAACATTGCTTAGCAACAAAAGTTCAAAACCAAACCACTCAAGGCTTAAAATAGTCTAAAGTAGTAATCAGAACCATCGGTGTCACAAAATTCTGGGAGATAAGTCTTGGAGAGAAGAAGTACCCTGCTGGAATACCAAAACATGAGAAAGGTTGTTCCCTGAGCAGATGAAAATAATCATTTCTATACAGGTTATTGCTATAATGTATGACAACTAACATCCTGCTGTTCAACTGTTATTAAAGTATATATTTTCCAAAGATGCAAAAACATTTAAAAAGAAAAAAACAGTCTGTTTTTTAATGATGCCTTCCTTTGTGTGTTTCAGTGAACTTTTTTCATTTGCCTTTGCTAAATTGACTTAAACAAATATTAATATTAATCATCAGAACCGAAGCTTTGGCCCTTGACCTTCTGAACTTTTGGGTCTGCACCCTGCTAGTTAAGTAATCCTTTGCATGCCTAAAACATGTTTAAAACAGAGAACTCTCACACTGGGAACCGAAAGCCGTTGACTTCCATGACCTCAGACTTCCAAAATAACCTCTGCTGAATGAAACACCACGGTATCTGTTTTTCAGCTTACATTTAACAGTTACTGGATGGCCGTGTGAATTTTTTTCAGATTATGTTTAAATCAAAAGAAAATTGAAGTTGATCAAGTTTAAAAACATGTTTGTGGTAAAACTTTCCAGAATCTGAACAAAAAAAAACATTTTAAGAAAGTCTTTTGTTTTCAGTTTACATTATTCAACCAGGCTCTAAGACTGCACAGAAAAAGTAGATATTGAGGGCTTTAATGAACAATGTTGATTCAATTTAGTCCATGAGACACTTAAGCAGTGGAATCCAAACCGTTTAGCATGGGAGCCAAGAATGTCTTCTTTAAAAGAACCAGGGGGCCAAAAACTTTTATTACATATTTTTTTTATTTTTAGTTTATTGTGGAATCTGTTTTTTTTTTTTTACCTGCTGATTGAATAAAGAAAAGAAAGCAGCCTCATTTATTTAAACAATAGATCAGTAAATTATCGTAGATTCATAACAGACAGTTCACAGGTTTGCCTAATTAAAAACAAAAAAGCAACACAAAAAAAAACTAAATTATGATAGAACCGCCCTAAATGTTCATAAAAATCAAATTTTTGCATATTTATGTTTTGCTTATGTATGATAGGCAACAGGAACAATACTCAGTACGTGATTAACCTTTTTTCTTCATACCTTTTTCTTATTACTTGATTAAATTCTTGAACAACTACTCTCTACATTTTATCTCAAATCAAGCACCTAGACATGCAGACCACTCCTTGGGGAGCTCAGTGAGATTCAGCGTGGTGCAAAGAAATGGAAATTGTTAGATGCAGTTGGTGTAATATATTTTACCACTGGACTTTAGAGCAGGCAGACGGTGTCTGTAGTGAGGAATCAGGTCTCTTTGACTGGGAATCCCAAAAGATAACTCTTCCAGATGTAAGACGGAGTTGTGGATATAGTAAAGGTTGGTATAGTAGGATTATGGGGCTGTTTTTTGGGATTTGGGCTCCCCCCACTAGTTTAATTTAAAATAAACCCTTAATAATTATGTTATGAAGACATTTTGGACAGTTTTATGCTCCTAACTTTGCAAGAATAGACATGTTGGTAAAGCTGCGCATAAATCAAGGTCCATCAGAGGATTGATGTGGGAGTTTGGAGTGGAAGATTCTAACTGGCCTGCAGGTTGTCCTTACCTCAAACCAATAGAACAGCTTCAGGATAAATTCCAGCTGAAGGCTTGGGGGATATACCTGCCCCTGGAGAGATTCTCTGCAGCCTCTGACTGCAATTCAAGAATAGTACACATTTGTCCCAGACCTGGAAAATACCAGTGAAATAACAGAAAAGTGTTATTTCATCCATTTGTAGGATGCACTTTTCCATCAGAAAAGTATTTGTGTGATTGATGTTTCTCATTTAAATCATCCAGCAACTTCTTTGGATGATAGTGATGAAGCAAACAAGATACGAAATATCAACCAACCTAAATGCTCAAAAATGGAATAAAAACCAAAGACAAAGCAGGTATATAGACCCTAATACTGAGAAAGCAAGCAGTTCAATTATTGTTTACACAATTATACATGTTAAAAGAAAGGTAGAAAGTGTGTGAGTCTGTTATATTAATAAGATTTAATTTCACAAAATACTGAACAACATTGTCTTTATACAAGAAAAATAAATGGTAATAACTATTTAAGAGCTTTTGCCTTTGTGGCCTGAGGAAAAAACTAAAAATGCGGTTCTTAAATGGTAATTTTATGGATAAAAAAAACAAGAAATGGGAAAAAGGAGCAAATGATATGAAAACTAGAATCAAAAATAGTCAAACACAGGACAGCATACGCCTACTCTTCTCCACTTTATGTTCTCCACCTCCAAACCCAGACTTTTTAGTGCATTTTCCTCTACAGTCTCTGCTAAACCCTTTGCAGGTAATCCCAAAAATCACTGGCAATTCTGTTGTGAGGGTTTATATGATCTGCTGGATGTCATTTTCAGTCTACAATTTCTCCCGTATCTTTGGAAATGTGTGTCTATTGTTTGGGTACTTTGAATACATCAGCCTTGGCAGAAAATATTTATGTGTAATTGCATCGTTTTTGTCTGAATGAATTCTATCTGACTCGGTAAGTGAAGCACCAGTGCTTTGCTGCTAAAGCATCCTAGGCTTACATTTTATACATTCAGAGTTAAAATGAGGGTTATGAGCTCTGACCCTGAGCAGGACTGAAATGCTTGTCTATCACACTGATGAGGCTAACTTTGCATTTCAGGCAAAAGCGTCAAAACTTTTTCGAACAGGTCAGAGGTGAGAGTTTGAGAGTCTTCTTTGTTTTAAATACAATAAATACAAAATGAGACCATTATACTAACCTCCTCTCCAAAAACACATCCCTAGCATCCCTCCTATTTTGTTATGTGCTTGTAAATAAAGATGGACAGGGAAAAAAGATCAGTTTAATTTAAAAGTACTACCAGAGTTGAGATTGCTGTAAATTATATTTAGTCTCGCCAAGTTCTAAATTATTACCCTTGTGCTTCACTTCCAAGGCATTTACAGGGGTGTGCAAAAGAAGTATTTGAGATTCTCAAACTCATTATAGTAGACCAAGTTTCCACTGTGAATACAAAACAGATAATTAGGCAGCTTTGTGATTTATTAAGAAAAAAGTCTTCCAAACCAACCAGGTCATTTCCTAAGAAGTAATTTCTTTCTTGTTGAATCATTAATTAACTGTGTTTTAGCACGTTTTTACCAGGCCTGCTTACTGTCTGAACAGTTTGATCAAGATAACTTCAGTTGAATTTAACTGAACCATGATGTAGGCTGAAAGACTTTAAAAACAACACATCTCGCTCTGATTTGAAAAGTTTCAGACTAGTTGAGAAGCAAACCCAATGGCATAATTCTGCTGGAAAAGTTTT